TTATAACAAGCTTTTAATGAGAGTAGGGATGCTCCGATCGCCGGAATCAGTATCGGCCGATACCGATCGCCGATCCAATCGAGTGGGCGGGGCCTAAATGGGGATCTTCCATTTAAAGTGATGTTTAAAACTCAGTTAATGCTCATTCACTGGCGCTTCCACACACAACCAACATCATTATTACATTCAAATGAAGCACATTATTCAACTTTACATTAACTTTGGAGAATAACACGGGAGAAATCAGTCAGTATCTCATGCAGCTCACTGATCCAGTAACGAGTGACCCGAGAGTGAAGAATAAACATATGTATAACTAGTGTAGCTTGTTCCAGAGGTAGATCAAATAGCTAAGTGTGTTAGGTCTAACTCTCAGTGTGTCGCTCCGCTCACCGGTCCGTCTCAGCGGGCGGAGCTGCAGGGTTTCTGCTTCACACACCGCTATTTTACTGTCTTTTTCTGACACCTTAAAATACTGCCAGAGCGGTTAAGCCATTTTTAGACCCTCCAGAAAAACGCAATTCTGCGATCGCAGAATTTACCGCATAATCAGCAAAATGGCGCAGATTTTTTAAAAGGCCGCATATTTATCAAAAGGCGCTTAATCCCCGCATGTTTCCACACAAAGTTGAGGGGGAAAAAAGTTAACTCGTCTTGACGTGAAGTAGTGATGATGATGATGATGATGAAGATGATGATGATGCGACTTCATCAGCTCGCGCATCACAGAAGGTAAACAACACCGTAGAGTGAATGTGTGGAGCTCACACGAGAGAGAAAACACCAAGATGAACAAATATAATCCATCTCATTACCGACGAACATTTCTGCTAAAGCAGTACCCCGATGAAACTATTCTGCACCCCGTGCAACTGTGTGTTGGAGCATAAGAGAACATCGACGGTGACGACTCACTTTGATTCATTCAAACATTCGAAAATGGTTTCTGCTGCTGCGGACAAGAAAGCCAAACAACTCACGTTCACCGAGGCATCGACCTCCAAAACCCTTTCGAGGGCTACAAGAAACGAGATGAGTAGCCTACAAGATTGAAGCTGGTCAGATAACGAACAAGTAAATGAGAACAGAATGAGGCGGAGAAGTGTGTGTGTGTGTGTGTGTGTGTGTGTGTGTGTGTATGTGTGTGATTAAAATAGCCCTATTGCTTTTACAATAAATAAACATTGAATGTGTTTAATTGAATAGTAAAGGGGTTTAACGTTAGTGGCAGGTTGTGTGTGAGAGAGAATAAATAAGACAGCCCAATATTAAAAAATATATATTTTGCAACTTTCCGCAACTAACCGTAATTTCACCGCATAAAACCACATAAAAACCCCGCATGTTTAATCGCATAATCAAGGATTTTTGCCCGCGTTTTTCTGGAGGGTCTACATTTTGGCGAGCTTGTTTTGCAGCACACAGAGAAAAGTGTAAATGAGATGTATTGTGGGTAGTATTGGTTTCATTTACACACTTTACAGAAGATGCAGAAGCCTCTCATTTCAAGGAATCGTGAAGAGAACCACGGTTGTTTTTTTCAATTTGTTTGAAGTGATTAGCAGCATGTATTGTGTTCTGGATAGCATTATAATGATTAAGTGACACTTAACACAAGTCATTACCTGTTGAGGGCCTGTTTAAGCGTAATACTTTAATGTTATAAATAGCTTATAATAAAGTTAGTTACTACCCTTTTACTCAAGTAGTACTTTTACTTGCCTATATATACTTTTTAAGATTCTATTACCAGGGTACTGTTTCTATTTAATCTGCACCAACACTATTCTGAATACTTTACCTTCAGATAGATATTACAGGGCCAACAGAAAATCACAACGTCTATACAACTACATAATACAATATCTGGTATGCAATGGATTTATTCCAGGAGATGCTTTCGTATGACTTTAGTTTTGACTGTGCTTCATGATGTGTTAGCCGTTTTGTTAATCTGATCATGTAAGTGTATTAAATGTGTTCTGTTTGATGTGTCTTTGTAACTCTGTTTGAAAGTCTGTTGTTATTGTTATTATTCTCGATGTACCCACCTTCAATGAGCTCTTTGACGGCCTGGGACTCCACAGAGTCATTCTCCGGAGCAGCTTCCTGTGTTTTGGCTTCCTGTGTTTTGGCTTCAGTCGCTGCGCTCGGCTCGCCGGGCGCCGCTCGGTCCGCCCGGTGGTGCCAGCGGTTCTTCTGGATCAGAGGGATGATCAGCTCTTTGGGCTTCTCTGAGGGCTTGGTACTGCAGGGCAGTCAGGGAAAGACAATATTTAGTTAGTTACTGTGGCAAAATAATGTGTAAACTAATGTCACAAACTCATAACCAGGCGTGGGAAGTAACGGATTACATGTAACGGGATTAGTAATGAGGATACTCATACTTACAGTTACATCAAAATCAAATGACTGGTTAAATGGGGATTTTAGCAGGATTACAATGCGTTTTATAATAAAGAATGACATAGTATGGGTTGACGTAGTGTTTTTGCTTGTCATCTAGATTACTTTCATTTAATTTTATTTTCAAATGCAGTAGGTGGACACCTGTTTATTAAACAAACATACTTTGTTTGATGTTAATTGATGTGTGTAACAGCGTTTGTAAACTATACTATTCTGTAGGCCTAGCCCAAAAGGAGACATTTTGTATCCTAAATACTTTGGTAACTTTCTTCCTGACATCTTATTGATATTTCTTCTCTCTTGTGTTTCTTAGCATTGCATTGATACTGAGGTAATCCAAAACTAACGGAAAGTAATCAGATTGCTTTACTTTTTACGTGATTACGTTACTAATTACTTTTTTTTTAAACAGGTAACTACTTACTAATAATTGTATCATAATACATATAAAAAGTAACCCTCCCAACCTTGCTAATAACGTCTACTATTTAAAAACTAGCTAACTAAGCTAAATCCAACTGACACGTAAAACAGAATAAACGTTTATAGAACGTAACCGCTACGTTGATGCTAACATTCTATGTAAATAACCGGTATGTTAGCATTAGCATCCGCTCCTTACCTCTGCAACTCTTTCCCGTCAATTCCCGTCAAGAAATCTTTCTCCTCTCTTTCTGTCACTCCTTCCACAGAGGAAGGTTTGAATTTGCTAACTGTTTTAGTAAATCCAAAAGATAGCGGGGCTGGTTTTTTCTCTGTTTGGTCCTCAGGAACATCTTCCCCGTGCGACGCCATGATTGTTTGTGACCAAAACTGGTAGGTGAACGGTTTTGTGGTAGTTGTAGTTTTATGTCGCTATGCTTGTCTTGTTGAAGTCTTGCCAAAGTACTACAATTCCCGACAGGCATGAGAATTAAAGGTAGGCTACATTGATTAGATTCCAACAAATGATAAGACATTTTTGTTAGGCAAAAAGCTATATATACAATAATAAAATAAATACAACTTTACAATATATAACGAAATAATATTTGACTACAGTTTCAATATATTAACAAATACAATAAAAACAATATATATATTGGGTAATATAAAATATCCAATACAATTTAATTTTAAATGACTCGAAAACAAATAATAATGATAATTTATGTTGCAGACTCAACAATATATGAGGACAGAATATTGGACTACAGTTTGAATGTATATACCAAAAAAGAATATATGCTTGTCCTTGAAAATAACAATACCATTTAATTTTAATGAAAACAAATTATTTTAATTTTTGCGATGATTAAACATATGCTGCAGACTGTAATTTAAAGAATTACCTAATTTTATATTTTGCTAAATCAAAAAAGGTCTACTCCTTATTAAATAATATCTGATTCTGTTATAGAAAGTATGAATTATTGCTGCGTTCACACCCAAATGGGTTATGTCCATGTTACTATAAATTAGCCTCAGTCTTATCCTAGCAAACCTCGCATATCAAAAAACAATAACATAATTATGAGTACAAAACAAGTTCGAGCCTTATACATGTATAGTGACAACTCGTCGTATAGCAAATTAGTTTCTAAAAGCTCAAATTGATCTTGTTCTCACGCCTTTAACTCCCCGTTATAACTCGTAAACGAAAAGTGATGCAGCCAGGTACACACAGAGAGGATGATAAGGGGCGGGACTTTGAACTATTATCATTCCCTCCCCTCTGTGCTCCTTAACTTCCCAAGATAACCTGCTGCTCATTTGTATTTTAGCAGTGTTTCTTTGCTCTAAAAGTGCCTTTTTTGCGCAGCGGGATTATTAACCTGAGCACACTTTACTACCGGACATCATAGCATGTATCTAATCTGATCTAATCTGATGTGATCTGCTGCAATTGACGCTCCTCGCCCTCAAAGCACCGCGCCTGCAGCGGCTCAATGACACCGACTCTCCCCGGTCACAGCACCGGGAGCAGCCACGTTTCTCTTCATTATCCGTAGTAAAACACACATGAATCCGTAATTAATGCACCTGCACCACCTGCAAGGCTACAGGGAAGGATTTACCGAGGAGAAAGCGACCATGAAGGTAAGAAATTCTGTATTTTTAAAGTCAAAATCTAGTTGTTTAATAGTCTTCCTCGCAAGTTACACGGCATGTTCTGTCAATCATCCAGTCTGCACGTTGTTTCGCCTGTAGCAGTGCAGCAGCTGCTACATTTATAAGCAGCCAGTCAGATTTGCCTGATAGTGTGTGTGCGTGTAGCTTGGTTGTGTGTGTGTGTGTGTGTGTGTGTGTGTGTGTGTGTGTGTGTGTGTGTGTGTGTGTGTGTGTGTGTGTGTGTTTGTGTGTCTGTCTCTGAGTATTATTCCCTCTCTCTCCTCTCTCCTCTCTCCTCTCTCCTCTCTCCTCTCTCTACATCTCCACAGAGCATCAGTATCCAAACATCCCGTCAGCCGTGCACATCGTCTCTCACTTTCTCTGGTGCACTCACACTGCTTTTCATCATATACACACACACACACATACACACAGCTCTTTAAACAGCTGCTATTTATTTAAGTGCATGCTTATCAGTTAACGGTTAACCTCAGTCGGGTCAATGTATATAGACGCGTTCAAACGGATCCTCTTTGAAAGGCTCAACTGCTTGAAGAGAATGTGTGTGTGTCAGCGCCAGGGCAGGTCAGTACTATTTTACCCTAAATATGAGGAAACATGAGAATCTGTTGTGTGTAACCCAAGTGTGTGTGTGAGAGTGAGAGTCAGAGAGTGTGTGCATGTAAACTGGTCAGTGTGTGTGGAGGAGAGAATGAGGGTTTGTGATGATGGGGGCAGAGATATGGAGTTAGAAGTCCCTCTGTCATTAACTTTGACCTCTTTTAAGTGTGTGTGTGTGTGTGTGTGTGTGTGTGTGTGTGTGTGTGTGTGTGTGTGTGTGTGTGTGTGTGTGTGTGTGTGTGTGTGTGTGTTGTCAAGCTTTGAGGTTAGTCAACTGATCGATAAGCCGAAACACAGAAACATCGCCAACAATTTTGTGAAATGATTTGTCTTTTAAGTCATATTTTTCATGCAGAAATGTCAGAAAATGCAGTTTTTAAGGTATCAATTGTGGAGATTTCTGGCCTTTTTCTACTTTATATCATATCAAGTGAATATCTTTGGGTTAAGGATTGATAAATCAAGGCATCTAAAGACATCACCTTGGATTTTTAGAAACATGGATGGTAAGTTTTCACTATTTTATGAATAGTTAAAAAAGTTGATTGAGACCTTTTGGTTAAATCTATATAGTTCATGTGTGTACTGTGTAGCTCTCCTGCTGCTGAAATGGTCTTAATGAAATGTAAACTCAAGCCCATCCTCAATGCACCTGCTCCCACGTTGCCGTGAGAAATAGACTGACTTGCAAAAAACACGTTCTCTGTAGTTCACGGTCAGGTGTGTGTGAAGGCATGTGTGTAACATACCTTGCAGCTCTGTGTGTGTGTGTGCTGCTATATGTGTGTGTGTGTGTGTGTTTGTTAAGGGTGTGTCCCTGCTCAATACAGGGAGCTTGTTTTGAAGTGATGGATGTTTGACCCTGACTCCATATAGTGTGCATTTCTGTGGATTTGGAGAGCGTTGAAGGTTGTGATAATGAATCATTAAAATGTTGAAAGGGAAGGAGAGGCATGTTTGGCTTTTCCTCAGCTCAGCACCTGTTCTGCACTCTAACTAAGGGAAACCTTTTTCAGAGTCATTCTGCATTTGCTTGTCGTCCATTGAATCCACTTTTCTTCTCAAGTTTGGAGCGACAGTAACTGGAAAGGCATGTTTCTACACGACTCAGCGCTGAGCGTGGAGCATCTCCTCTCCTGCTGTCCGTCGTAGTAATGCACGTCATCTGGGAGCTGTTGATTGTCTAATTATGTTCCTCCTGTGTCCTTCGGCAGCATGCATATTAATGCTGCTGTTTTAAGGTGTGGTGGAAACTAAGTGTGTGTGTGGTTCTGTATGTGTGGTTCTGTGTGTGTGTGTGTGTGTGTGTATGTGTGTGTGTGTGTGTGTGTGTGTGTGTGTGTGTGTGTGTGTGTGTGTGTGTGTGTGTGTGTGTGTGTGTGTGTGTGTGTGTGTGTGTGTGTGTGTGTGTGTGTGTGTGTGTGTGTGTGTGTGTGTGTGTGTGTGTGTGTGTGTGTGTGCTTGGCAGTTTACCCTTGACGGGGCTGCCGGCGCCCATCTGTGGTCCAAACCTTTGCTCCCAGCCACTGCATTTGCATTCTGCAGTTGTAGCGTGGTCTATTCTTAGTTCCACAGTTCATGTGGAGTCTGGGATCAGCAACAACTGGGGATGTGCGATAATTCAATATGTTTAATCATCAACTTTTCATGGAATTATATCATGAGGAATCGTGTATTCTTGAGATGCAATGATATTTCTGAAGGCTGACCCTGAAGGAAGCATTGCAAGGGCTCCCTCCACAAAAAGCCAATGGGTTTTTTCCATTGGCTTTTGGATTAAGATCTGTGTCAAACAAACGTGTATCATATTTACACGCTTTGTTCAGCAGGATAATCTCCACCTATTAACTCAACTTTATGATTTCTAAAGTAAAAAGCTAACGTTAGGCTATGGAACTAAAGCACGGTCACATGACTTCACGTCACCACCGCTAAGCTAAAGGTGGCTAATGTTGGGCTATAAAGGAACTACAGCACGGTCACATGACTTCACGTCACCACCACTAAGCTAAAGGCGGCTAATGTTGGGCTATAAAGGAACTAAAGCACGGTCACATGACTTCACGTCACCACCGCTAAGCTAAAGGTGGCTAATGTTGGGCTATAAGGAACTACAGCACGGTCACATGACTTCACGTCACCACCACTAAGCTAAAGGCGGCTAATGTTGGGCTATAAAGGAACTACAGCACGGTCACATGACTTCACGTCACCACCGCTAAGCTAAAGGCGGCTAATGTTGGGCTATAAAGGAACTACAGCACGGTCACATGACTTCACGTCACCACCGCTAAGCTAAAGGCGGCTAATGTTGGGCTATAAAGGAACTACAGCACGGTCACATGACTTCACGTCACCACCGCTAAGCTAAAGGCGGCTAATGTTGGGCTATAAAGGAACTACAGCACGGTCACATGACTTCACGTCACCACCACTAAGCTAAAGGCGGCTAATGTTGGGCTATAAAGGAACTACAGCACGGTCACATGACTTCACGTCACCACCGCTAAGCTAAAGGTGGCTAATGTTGGGCTATAAAGGAACTACAGCACGGTCACATGACTTCACGTCACCACCGCTAAGCTAAAGGTGGCTAATGTTGGGCTATAAAGGAACTACAGCACGGTCACATGACTTCACGTCACCACCGCTAAGCTAAAGGCGGCTAATGTTGGGCTATAAAGGAACTACAGCACGGTCACATGACTTCACGTCACCACCGCTAAGCTAAAGGTGGCTAATATTGGGCTATAAAGGAACTACAGCACGGTCACATGACTTCACGTCACCACCGCTAAGCTAAAGGCGGCTAATGTTGGGCTATAAAGGAACTACAGCACGGTCACATGACTTCACGTCACCACCGCTAAGCTAAAGGCGGCTAATGTTGGGCTATAAAGGAACTACAGCATGGTCACATGACTTCACGTCACCACGCTAAGCTAAAGGCGGCTAATGTTGGGCTATAAAGGAACTACAGCACGGTCACATGACTTCACATCACCACCGCTAAGCTAATGGCGGCTAATGTTGGGCTATAAAGGAACTACAGCACGGTCACATGACTTCACGTCACCACCGCTAAGCTAAAGGCGGCTAATGTTGGGCTATAAAGGAACTACAGCACGGTCACATGACTTCACGTCACCACCGCTAAGCTAAAGGCGGCTAATGTTGGGATATAAAGGAACTACAGCACTAAAGAAGAAGAAGAAGAAGAAGAAGAAGAAGAAGAAGAAGAAGAAGAAGAAGAAGAAGAAGAAGAAGAAGAAGAAGAAGAAGAAGAAGAAGAAGAAGAAGAAGAAGAAGAAGAAGACATACTTTATTAATTTAACATTTCTTTCTAAAGGAGGCTAATGTTGGGCGTGATGACATTTAGTCGTCTCATTTAGACACTTGTTATCAACCGCCGTTATTAAATTCACCAGTGGGTTATTTACTGACGTCGTAGAACATCTCTTCAGTTTGTGTTAACTTTAGACCTTATTTCCATTTAATAACCAAAACCATATTTAAAAAAACATTGACCAGAGATGATCTGCTCTAACTTAGTTAAATCAAACTAATGTCTTGATCTGATCACTTCGTATTGGTGTGCATACATGTTGACATAGTGTGTGTATAGCTGGAAATGAATATACCTTTTAATGTCTCCATTCTGGTGACAGCACCAGAGTCATTATGTTTTTGAATTTTAAATCGGTCCATCTCGGAATACTTAGGGAATGCCTGGAAGGAAATATATTCAAATGTGGTACCTACGTCCATTTGGACTCAATGATGAACTGTTAAAATGTTGGAGGTAAAATCAGAATCATAAATACTCCATTGATCCCCGTGGGGGCAGTTGGATAAATAGATGTCAAAGGTAAATGTCACTGCAACCTCACATCCGTCGTATTCCCGGGAACGCCTGCAGGGAATTTCTCTTTCACTTGGACAAAAGGATGAAGTGTCACTAATTGAGTGGTCAAAGGTCACTGTGACCTCGCCAAACGGCCCATAACTTATTGACTCATAAGTTAATGACATTTTTGTCAATTAATTCACACAAATGTCTCGTAGGACAAAATGATGAAGTGATGATATTTGAGACGTACATTTAAAGATTCAGAAGCTTCATTTGTCAAGTATGCACAGAAGGTACAGCGCGGTGCATATGATGGATAAAGCTGCATTTATACTGCTTTTCAGAGGCATACAACCATGAGGCTGGAACTGTTTCTATTATTTCCCCCTTGAAACTGTTATGCTTAAAGACTTAAATGTGTGATTGTGTCATATATTTAAATATTGAAGTAGAGCATAAAATATTGTTATTGAGATACATTACATGTACACAGGGTTGGGAGGGTAACTTTAAAAATGTATTCTAGCACAGTTACTACATGTAAAACAGTGTAATCAGTAACCTGATTTGAGTATCAACATATACAAGTATTGTAACCTGATTTACTTTGTATTACTTCAATATCAAATGCATGTGATTGGTCAACCGCTTAAAGATGTCAATCAATCAATCAATTAATGTTTATTTATATAGCCCAATATCACAAATGTTACATTTGTCTCAGTGGACTTCACAGTGTGTACAGAATATCAGTATGACAATACGACACCCTCTGTCCTTAGACCCTCACATCGTACAAGGAAAAACTTCCAGAGAAAACCCACAGTTTAAAGGGAAAAATGGGAGAAACCTCAGGGAGAGCAACAGAGGAGGGATCCTTCTCCCAGGACGGACAGACGTGCAATAGATGCCGTGTGTAAATTGAAAAGATAATACATTTGCAACATAGGTGGTCCAAATGTTTGGAAATGCACGTGTGTATAATAGGAAGATGAATCCACGAGGATATCCATCCAGGACCTATGATCCAGGACCACAGCCACGACTCAAGATCCAGGGCTCGCGATCCAGGACACAGGACCGCAGGATCATCCATGACTCCGGATCCCGGCGT